AGAACTGCCCCATAGGGTTTCCAAGGAGCAGCTGGTGGATTTGAACTGCTGACCTTTTGGTTAGCAGCCGAGCTCTTAACCACTGCACCACCAGGGCTCCTTTTGAAGAGTACATTTATGAAAAGGCCTTTTGTTGTATTTTATTTTGAATTTAACAAGCCAGTGTGTTTATACTTAAAAAACTTAGCGATTCAAAGAATTAAAAAGATAATTCATGGGCTCCATAATAAAATTTGTAGGAGGTTTTAATTGTTGTTATTGTTTTCCTTCCTCCCTATGTCCTTTCCTTCCTTCCTTTCTTCCAACCTTCTTTCCATCCCAGATCTGTCATTTGACATATATGAAGGGCAGATCACTGCAATACTTGGCCATAGTGGAGCTGGGAAATCGACACTGCTGAACATTCTTAGTGGGTTGTCTGTTCCTACCAAAGGTAAGAGATTTTTTCCCAAAGTCAAGTAGACAAAAAATTAGCTGTTAATATAAAGTCCTTCTGATAATTAATCACAAACACAGATATCCAGGGGAAAACTGGAACTTTATGTTATTATTTTATAGAGATATATTATGTTTGGAGCCCTGGTGGTACAGTGGTTAGGAGCTCAGCTGCGAACCAAAAGGTCAGCAGTTCGAATCCACCAGCTGCTCCTTGGAAACCCTATCAGGCAGTTCTACTCTGCCCTGCAGGGTCTCTATAAGTCGGAATCAGCCTGGTGGCAGTGCGTAGTCATAGTAGTACCTAATATTTAATTGGTATATATGGAATTTGAATAGTTCATGATAATTATTTTCATGGTCATTAATTACCATTTAGAAGTCCCTGGGTAGTGCAAACGATTAAGTGTTCAACTACTATCCAAAAGGTTAGCAGTTCCAACCCACCCAGAGGTATCTCAGAAGAAAGGCCTGGCAATCTGCTTCTGAAAGGTCAAAGCCATGAAAACCCTATAGAGCCATTCTACTCTGACTCACATGAGTTTATCATGAGTAGGAATCAACTATACAGCAACTGTTTTCTTTTTGGGGGGCTGGTGGTGTTAGCATTCCAACTTGTATCAGCTAGCTTTCTCTACGTGACAAACCACCCCCAAAGTTAATGGCTTAAAACAAAAACGTTTTGTTGTTTCTCACAAGTCTTTGGGTTGGCTGGGAAGTCTTTCTGTTCCGAACTGAAGTGGCTGGGACTGGATTGCTTAGCATGGCATCACTCAAGTTTTGGGGACTTAAGCAGGAACAGCTTCACCTTTGTGTCCATGTGGACTTTCATCTTTGAGGAGGTTAGCCGGGGATTCTTCACCCAGTAATCACCATGTTCACAGCAGCAAGAGAGCTAGACCACAGTGTGCAAAGCACTTTCCAGCCTCTGCCTTTAACAGGTTTGCTAAGATCCCACTGGTTATATAAAAAACAAAAAACCAAACCAGTTCCCATTGAGTTGATTCCAACTCATGGAGATCTCATATGTGTCAGAGTATGATTGTGCTCCCTAAGGTTTTCAGTGGCTGATTTTTCAGAAGTAGATCACCAGCTTTTTCTTTCAAGATGCCTCTGGGTGGACTCGAACCTTCAACCTTTTGGTCAGCAGCTGAGCATGTTAACTGTTTGCACCCCCCAGGGATGCATTGGTTATATATATTTAAAAAAAAAAACAAACCTGTTGCCATCGAGTCCATTCCAACTCATAACAACCCTATAGGACAGAGTAGAACTGCCCCATAGGGTTTCCAAGGAGTGGCTGGTGGATTAGAACTTCCAACCTTTTGGTTAGCAGCCGTAGCTCTTAACCACTGTGCCACCAGGGTTTCCATTTGTCATATAGCCAAGCCTAAATGCAAGGGGTGGATAAAGAGACTATCTCTTGATGAGAAATGCTGCAAATAGAGCCTTTTTTTCAATGCATCACACAACAAAAATGGAAAGTCATTATGTCTGAATTATCCTTAAAACTAAAATCATATACTTAAAAATTTTATTAATAAATATTATAGGGTTTTTTTTTTAATTTAGAAAGATCTTTATTTAAGCATTATCCTGATATTAACTTCTCATCTTTGTTATAGGTTCAGTCACCATCTATAATAACAAACTTTCAGAAACGACTAACTTCGAAAATATCAGCAAGCTCACTGGAGTTTGTCCACAATCTAATGTTCAATTTGACTTCCTCACCGTGAAGGAAAATCTCAGGCTATTTGCTAAGATAAGAGGGATTTTTCCACAAGAAGTAGATAAAGAGGTGCATAAATATGTTAGGGCTGAGGCACTGGTCAAGATGAGATTATTACTCTTATATGCACTGAGTTTTATAGTTTTTTCCATTAAATTATCTGTGCCTAAATGATTATATAAAAGTTGGACAAAAAAATCCTATTTAAATCCTATCTAACATTTATATATAACTTACAATGTGCCAAGCATTGTCTTTAACTTTAAACATACTCAGTCGTTTATCCCTCACAACATCCCTATGAGGGAGGTACTGTTATTATATCCATTCTACATATGTAGAAACTGAGGTTCAGAGAGGGCAAGTAATTTGACCAAGATTTATGCAGCTGGCAAACATGGAGTGGTATTCAAACCCAGGTAGTCTGGCTCCAGGATCCGTGCTTTTAATCACTACACTTGACAGCCTTGGATTTATAAAATAAAGTCACTTCCACCTCACACAAGCCGTGTAGAGCTTATAACATTCCCTCAGGTGAACCCTAGCTTAGATAAGAATGAGAAAGCATCAGAATATTCATCAGAATCTTCTAGAAAGTGACACTACTGGTCATCTAGAAAACTCCTGCTAGGAATAGAGAGCTAATGCCAGGGTGAGAACTGTGGAAGCCAGAAGAAAGAAAGGAAGGAAAAGAGGGAAGGAGGGAGGGAGGGAAGGAGAGAGAGAGAAAGGAAGGGAGAGAGGGAAGGAAAGAAAGAAGGAAGGAAGGAATCTTGGTTTATGATATAAATGTTGTCTTTTGGTTAGGTAGAAAGAGTTTTGCTGGAATTGGAAATGAAAAATATTCAGGATATCGTTGTTCAAAACTTAAGTGGTGGACAGAAAAGAAAACTAACCTTTGGGATTGCCATTTTAGGAGATCCTCAGGTAAGTGGAACTAAATTTACAGGGAATCCAAATTTTAAAAAATTAAACTTTTGATAATAACTCAAACCCTTTGTTTGCAAAGAATATCTGTGATAAGATATTTATAGCAGAACATTAAATATGAGTATAATCCTAACCATAATACCTTTTAAATATAAATAATTTATAGTTTCTTTATTGCTTCTGGAAGAAATTCACCTGAGGTGGAAAATGCTTTTCTGTATATCTCTCCTCTGCAGATTTTCCTGTTAGATGAACCAACTGCTGGGTTAGATCCCTTTTCAAGACACCGCATATGGAACCTCCTGAAGGAGTGTAAAAAAGATAGAGTGATCCTCTTCAGTACCCAGTTCATGGATGAGGCTGACATCCTGGCTGGTAATTGTCGGTTTCCTTTAGTATGGGGATGAGGGCTTTAGAGATCTAAGAAATATGGACTGGTATTCTGAACGGCTGTATCTTTACTGGTGATAGTGCAGAGAGTTTTACTCCAACCCATTGAGTGTATTCCAGAGAATTTGTATCACTGTGATTTTACAGGGACATTGTCTGCCAAGAAGCACACAGATTGCAAAGTAAGTGACAGTCTATATTCTAAGAGATATACTTTTACTCAGAATTAAGGTAAATCAACTTAATAATCAAGTAATTTTAATGTATGATGTTCCTTTAAAACATACAATGTGATGATTCTCAATATTAATAAATATATCCATGTAATTTAATATCCCTGATGGGTTGGATGGCAAAACAACAGCCTAAGGTATATAAATAGAATTGTTGTATGCCGCTGAGTCAATTCTGACTCATAGCGATCCTACAGGAAAGAGTAGAATTGTGTCTATTTCAATGAACCCTTATTAAGCTATTTGAAACTATTGAAGCTCCTAAATTAGACTTAAGTCATTTAATCCATTATCTGTCTTTTCTCAGAAATGAATGGGCAACTTCCTGACACTTTATTCTTTGATCTTTTCTTTTCAGATAGGAAAGTGTTTCTCTCCAAAGGGAAGCTGAAGTGTGCAGGCTCTTCTCTGTTTCTAAAGAAGAAATGGGGGATTGGATATCATTTAAGGTACGGCCACTTGAGGAGGCTGAAAATAAATGAGAACTGGGCTTGAGTAAGGCATAAGTCTTAAAGCTAAACTTTACAACACTAAAGCAAATCTTTTATTATTATACCCAGATGTTTGTACGTATGTGTGTGTATTTTATATATATATATATATGCATAAATACATATATATATGGTTGAGAATGTAATAAAACTTTCTAAGCATTGACACATAGTATTTCACATGCTCATTATCTCTCACCCAGTGTATTATCTGGAGCCCTGGTGGCACAGTGGTAAAGAGCTCAGCTGCTAACCAAAAGGTTCAACAGTTAGCATCCACTAGCTGCTCCTTGGAAACCCTATGGGGCAGTTCTACTACGTCCTATAGGGTCGCTATGAGTCAGAATCGACTTAACAGCAATGTTTTTTGTTTTTTTTTTTTTTTTTGGTTAGTGTATTAATACAGTTTCTTAAATAGGCTTCCTACTTCCACTCCTCACCCTAGAACCTCCACTTCTTTCTTGTTCTTCCTCTCCTTTCCTTCCTCTTTGTTTTATTATCATTATTTTGAATGGTAGTATATTTTATCTGTTGTTTGTTGAGTAATTCACAGATATGATATTCAGCATTATTTTATTTAAATCTTTTTTTTTTGAGATAGAAACTTTTGTTACTCTTATTCTACAGGTAAAAATATAGTCTCCCTAGATTAGTAAGTGGTAGAACCAAGAATTGAGTCAAGATATTTTTAACTTCAAAGTCTAGTATCTAAATCCATGTCTTAAACTACTTTTTAATTTATATATGATCGGTTTGTTTTTCTGAAGTACAGCTCTGATTCACATCATCCATACTTTAAAAAGAAAACATGATGATGACAACAACCACACAAAAAAAAAAAACTTCAGTGGTTCCATTATCCCTACCAGAGTCCAAACTACTCAGCCACGGAATGCTAGAGTAGTTCACCCTATCACGACTCCTGTCTCATTCGCCCTTACCCAATTCAATACTCTCTAGTTAAAATTCCCCGACATGGTCTGCATTTTCCCTTTGTTTAAGGTATTTTCTAAGGCTGGCACAGCTTCCTTGAACTCATTTCCACCTGTTTAAATCCTAAACATTTATTGTGGATGCTACCTCATCACGTAGATGTTAGTATTCCAGCTCTGGGTAAGATCCCAATTTCCTGATTTCCTAAAGCATTTTGTTTGAAATTCTGCTTGGAAATCATTAAAAATCACGTATAAAGTGGGAGTTGTAATTTCTAGTTGCAAGTAAATATTATAGAAAAAGAAATGAGATGATGACTACCATATTGCATGGCAACCTAACATGCTCCGAAAACACAAAAACAAAAAAAACAACGCTAGTTAGGATCCCTGGCTGATTCACAGGTCTTTCCATTGGCTCCTGGATACTAATTTGTGTATTTGCTTTACTTCTTCTTCTAAGCCAGAGCTTAGCAAACTAGGTCCCACAGGCCAAATCTGGCCTACTTCTTGTATTTGTAAATAAAGTTTATTAGAACATAACCATGCCCATTTGTTTACATGTTGTCTATGACTGCCTCCCTGTTACAATTGCAGAGTTGAGAAATTGCAATGGAGACCTACTGGGCCACAAAGCCTAAAATATTTACTATTTGGCTGTTTATAGATAGTAAACCATTCTTCTAAACTGTAAGTGCCTTGGAGGAGGACACTGGGTCCTGCTCCTGTAGTCTTCTGTAGCCCAGCAGAAGTCCCCAAAGTGAGCTCGAAATATTTCTTGAATTGTTTCTGTATTTTATGGTGACATTGGAGAGAACATTTAAGATAATTTTTTGCTTCATTCCCTCAGTGGATTTCACTGGTTCTAAGAATGGCATATATTCTTGTAAGTTCCTGCATACCTTACGAGTAAATGGAATAATTTTGACTTAAGCACTGGGTAAATAACAATTTTTTTGAGAGCTTGCTAAGTGAAAACCTCACTATTACTCAAGTCTTAAAACAAGTCTATATGCTAGTGTCAGTATTCCAGTTTACTAATGAGGAAACTGTTTAGACAGGCTAAATAACACATTTCAAACTGCAAAACCACTTTTTAAAGCCAGGTCACTACCCGTATTTTTTTTCTACGGTATACTTTATAACCTTGACTCATAGATTGATTTTGCAGAACTTTTTGAATGTTTTTATACAACGGGAAACTTACCTACAGTGTTTTTGAATGGATAGACTCATTTTTCTCAATGATACTCTGTTCTTATTCAAAGTTCTGTTGTTAATACTAAAAAGAAAGGAAAAAATTAACCATCCTTCCACCTCACACCAATATTCATCCATCTCACAACCCTGCTTATCTAGTCCTGTTTTCTTCATAGCACATGACTATTGATAATCATTTATGTTTCTTTACTGGTTTTCTGCCTGCCCCTCCACTAGACAGTCAGCTCTGCAAGAACAAGGCGATTGTTTGCCACTGAACCCTCAACACTTAGTCCAATGCTTGTCACATATTAAGAACTCTTACATTGGATGACTGCATTGAATACTGAGCCTGTTTTGCTCCTACACCTATCCAAAGTCGTCTGTTCTTGCCTAATACAACAATCTTATTTAATTTTACTTTGAACATATCTTGAACATTATCTTGTATAATCCTGGTCTTTGCTGTTTTGCATGCCTCGTGGCCCTACTCTGTAGCTATTCTCCCTTAAGGACATGATCAACATTGAGCTTCTTGAGGCAGCATCCTCCATTAACTTGGACAGTTTTTCTGATTTGCTTTTTTTTTTTTTCATTTCCCTCACCACATTTATATGATCTGATTTTTTGTCCTCTCATTTTATGTTCACATGGCCTATTTCTTACATTAGATTTTAACTGATTTTTTTAGTTTGTCCCATAAGGACTAGTAATTTTTTTCACAGTATTGGAGACTATGTCAAATAACATATGCCTTTCTTTTGAACACCAGTTTGCAGGTGAATGAAATGTGTGTTCAGGAAAAAATAACAGCACTTATTAAACAGCACATCTCTGATGCCAAATTATCAGCAGAAAGTGAAGGAAAACTTATCTATACGTTGCCCTTAGAAAGAACAAATAAATTCCCAGGTAATGTACATGAATATCATGAAATGAAATATGTAAATAATATTCATAATAATAATATTAATGATAATTACTATAACTAACATTTATTGAGCACTTAATATGTGTCAGGTATTTGAAAGATGGTCAAAATAATACAGTAACTGGGCTGTTTTATCTATATTGGGAAATATTATTATATTCTAATAGTTGCATTGTAATACCTGGTCATTTTGAGGAGTTTCTTTTAGTTCTTCATTCCCCTTCCAGTGTTTAGCAGAAAATTCAAGTATTCATAAGATACACGTTGCCATCGATTCCAACTCATAGCAACCCTATAGGACAGAATAGAACTGTCCCCATAGGGTTTCCAAGGAGTGGCTTCATTGTTGTTGTTAGGTGCTGTCGAGTCGGTTCCAACTGATAGCGACCCTGTGTACAACAGAACAAAACACTGCCCGGTCCTGTGCCATCCTCACAATCATTGTTATGCTTGAGCCCATTGTTGCAGCCATTGTGTCAGTCCATCTTGTTGAGGGTCTTCCTCTTTTTCGCTGACCTTCTACTCTATCTATCAAGCATGATTTCCTTCTCCAGGGACAGATCTCTCCTGATAACATGTCCAAAGTATATGAGACATAATCTCGCCATGCTTGCTTCTAAGGAGCATTCTGGTTGTACTTCTTCGAAGACAGATTTGTTCATTCTTTTGGCAGTCCACGGTATATTCAATATTCTTTGCCAACACCACAATTTAGGAATGGCTAGTGGATTTGAACTGCCGACCTTTTGGTTAGCAGCCAAGCTCTTAACTACTGTGCCACCAGGGCTCCTTCATAACCATACATGAATACAAACAGTTGAAAACCTCTGGCTCAACCACTCTGTTAAACAGACCTATGATATGGCTGTTTCTCTTGACATGACTTTTGCCATAACTTTGGGGTTTTCAGGCCAACACATAAAAATTTTCTAATTATGTTTTTCATTCAGGGAAACCACTCCCTGATAATGGCACGTTATGGGAGCATAGTGGTTAAAAGCTACGACTGCTAATCAAAAGGTTGGCCGTTCAAATCCACCAGCTGCTTCTTGGAAACCCTATGGGGCAGTTCTACTCTGTCTATCCTATAGGGTCACTATGAGTCAACTGGATGGCCATGGGTTTTTGTTGTTGTTTTTGTTGTTGTTGTTGTTGTTTTCCCATGAGGGCTAGGTTGAGTGGTTGAAACAATTAACTTGCCATGTGGGTGGTTAACAAAGACAGATAAATTACCACACAAAACCATTCAAATATACATTTCATAATGGCAACACAAGTGTTCCTTAGAACCAACAAGCAAGTTGTTACTAAAATCGTAATTAGTGCATTTTAATAGTAATTATAATTTAGAGGAAGTTTGTAGAAGTTTTAGGTAGAATGAAGAGTGAGACATAATACTTATTAGTGGTTTAATATTCTCTTTTACTTTACTGGATACTACAACAAAGACAGAAAGCTTTTTGACTTTTCCTTTCTCCCGGCAGAAGCCCCAGGCTGAAGCTCCGGGACTTCTGCCATCTCGCTAGGATTTAGAATTAGATTTTTACTTAAACTTCATTTAATTAACCACTGTAATTTAAATCTCCATAAGCAAGGACATTGTTCATTGCCATATGAACAAGTGATGCAAGATTATTTTTGATGAAATGAACTAAAGAATGAGGTAGAATTGCTTAGAGGGAATGATTACTATCACAATTTCTTATTATTCCTAGAATATGCCCTAAGTCAATTCCTCATTCTCTGTCTATGTGATATTGTGAATTTTTTCTTCCATAGTCAGAAGCAGAAATTTTAAAAATGACATATGTGTTATGTCCTTTCTTTGACAGATATTTTCTGAACTGAAGAAGATTCTGCACCATCCAACTAATTCTTTTAAAAAAAAAAAAAATTAGATCTTTCCCGTTTGTGGTTGTAATATAAATGACCCCATTTGTGTCTGTTTTCTGGAAAATACTCTTCAATTAATTAGGCTTAGAGTTGGAAAAATCAAAAGTTCTCCTATTAGTTAATTTTTATAAGCAAGTGAGAGAAAAACTAAAATAAAATCTTAATAGAAATGTGAATGAATATAAATTAATACTTGATCGTAAGAAGGTAATACTTTGGCTGACAACTGAGACAAATTGAAAATAATACATAGTATTTGAATAATAAAGTTATTTATTACGAAATTTTCATTTTTTTTCAAATGTCCTTGACATATCACAAGTATAATTTCATATATTTGCCCTTTTTTGTTTGAAAAATTGTTCTCAGCTCACTTGTATTTTTGTGTGTGTACGTGTGTTTATTTGCTGCTCTGTGTGTTCATTAGACCTTTACAGGGATCTTGATATGTGTCCTGGCCTGGGAATTAAGAATTATGGTGTTTCTATGACAACTCTGAGTGAGGTGTTCCTGAAACTAGAAGGAAAATCAGCCATTGACGAATCAGGTAAATAAAATGCACGAAAACTCATGTAAAAGTTAGTATTCGCAACCCCCAGTGTAATATATATTTCAAAAAGACTTTGTTCCACGTATGTGATTACAAAATCTGTGGCCATTCTGATTAAGGACATTTTTAGACAAACTTTCATAAAGACAAAAAGTACCCTTGTCACATTTTTTACTTCTATTGTCAGTATTGCCTCTCTGTTGAAGATTGCCCATTTACTTCTAACCCGGACTCATTGCCCTCATCTTATCTCCAGGCCACTGAGAGAAATTTCAGACCAAACGTTTATTCTAAATCTCTCTTTAAGCGCTTTGAATCACTGCTTTCTAGCTTCCATGGTTTCTGATGAGAAACCAACTGTGAATCTCATCGAGGATCCCTTGTATACAATGAGTGGTTTTTCTCTTGCTGCTGCTTAGATTGTCTTTTTGTCTTTTGTTTTGTTTTGTTTTTTAAAATAATATTCTGTTGCATTTTTGGTGAAGGTTTACATAGCAGTTTAGGTTTCCATTCAACAATTTCTACACAAGTTGTTCAGTGACATTTGTTACATTCTTCACAATGCGAGAACATTCTCTGTTTCCATTCTGGTTGTTCTGTTTCCATTAATCTCATTTCCCTGACTTGTCTTTGGCTTTTAACAGTTTGCCTATGATGTGATTAGGTGTGGATCGCCTTAAATGTGTCTTACTTGGAGTTTGTTGAGCCTCTTTAAAGTGAAGATTAGTGTTTTCCATCAAATTTGGGACACTTTTAGCCATTATTTCTTCAAGAATACTTTCTGAAAATTTCTATCTCTTTTCTCCTTCTGGAACTCCTATTACATGTATGTTTCCGCTTGATAGCATCCCACATTTCTCTGAGACTGTTCGTTTTCCATCGTTTCTTTTTTCTTTCTATTCCTAATACTAGATAATCACAACTTATCTTTTGTTACATTCACTGATTTTTTCTTCCACCAGCTCAAACGTGTTGTTGAGCTTCTGTAGCATATTTTTTCTTTTTCAATTATTGTACTTTTCAACTTCAAACTTTATTTTTTATAATTTTTATTTCTTTAGTGATATCGCCTATTTTATGAGACATGATTGTTGTCTTGATCATTTAAAGTGTGTTGTTTAATTTACAAATAGTTGGGAATTTCCTGTATAGTATAGTTATTGATATCAAAAATTTTAGTGTGGTCATAGAACATAGTTGATAATTTAAAATCTTTTAAATTTACTAAGTTTGCTGCTGAATTCACATTTGGTCTATTTTGGTATATGTTTCTTGTCCGTTTAAAAAAAAGTGTGTGTGTTGTGTGAGCTATATACATCTAGAATATATATTTATAGAACTCCAGTTGTTGTGTCAATATGTGTCAATTAGGTCAAGTTGGATGATGGTGTTGGTCAATGTATTTTGTCTTTACCGATTTTTTTCCTACTGAGGAGTATTAAAATCTCTAACTATAATTTTAGATGTGTCTAGATTTGTTTTTTTCTCCCTATAGTTAGGTAAGTTTTTACTTCAGGTAATTTGAAATCTGTTTTTAAGTGCGCATATATGAGGGTAAGTCAGAAAGTATTGCTACTAGGATTCCAATTCATATGTATATGGGTTTATTCCAAACAAAACATGTTTAAACATGTCTCTGCAAACTGTGGATGGCTGTGGATGGCTATAGACAAGTTCTCTCAATAATACGCTAGTCTTAGTCTTGTTAGGGTGCCTTCAAAAAAAAGATACTTTCTGTACCATGAAAAAAAAAATCTTGAGGTCAGGGCTAATATCAAATTTTTAACAAAACTCAAGTGAACATCTTCCCAAATCATTGAAGCTTTGCAGCAAGTTTATGGGAATGCTGCCCCACATAAAGCAACAGTTTTTAAATGGATCAAGCATTTTAAGGAAGGTCAGGAAGACCTCAAAAATGAGCCAAGAAAGGGAAGACTGCTTAGAAGGTTATGGCGACTATTTTTTGGGATCCCAAAGGGATAATCTTGATAGATTTTCTCAAAGGACACAGGACGATCACAGGAGCTTGTTATGAAGAAGTTTTAAGAAAATTTGCATTGGTGAGAAAAAGGCCAGGAAAGTTGCACCGAGGAATTTCTTTTTCCATTATGACAATGCACCTGCTCATTCTTCCAGGATAGCAAGGGCTGTCCTACAAGAATTTTGTTGGGAAACCTTACCCCATCTAACCTATAGCCCTGATCTTGCCCCTTCAGGTTTCTTTTTGTTCCCAAACTCAAAGATCATTTAAAAGGAACACGATTTGTTTCCCTCAAGGATGCCAAAACGCTGTTTTGACATGGAGTAAATCGAAGAGCGCAGAATTCTTCAGGGAAGGGTTAGAGAGATGGACATATCACCTTCAGAAGTGTATAGACCTAGATGGAGGATATGTCAAGAAACAATAACTTCACATTTTGATATTTTTGTTTAATAAAAGTTTCTGTGAGTTTGTAGCAGTACTTTTTGACTTACCCTCACATTTAGGAGTAATATGACTTCTGGATGAATTGCATTCGTTGTCATTAGGAGAAGTCCCTTTTGAACTCTGGTAATGGCAGTTGTTCTGAAGTCTAACGTGTCTAGTAAAAATAGAGGTATTTCAGTTTTAATGTGATTTTTATTTGCATGGTGTGTTACTCCACGCTTTACAAAATTTTCAACCTGCTTGTGCTTTTAAAGAATATTTCTTATAAATAGCATATAGTTGAATTTTGCTTTTTAATATATCTTACAGTCTGTGTCTTGTAAGTGGTATTTTTAGCCCATTTAATTTTAATCTGATTGTTAATATGGTTAAGTTTAAATCTATCATATTGGTCCCATCTGGTCTTTGCTTTTGTGTTGCTTTCTGCCTGCCATTTTTTACGTATTATTACTAAGCCATTTTATCTCCCTCTTGCCTTTTTAGCTATACTTCTTGGTATTACTTGTTTTTCATGATCACCACATATATTACAATAGGAAGCTTTACTTAAAATAGTCTATATTCCAATAATACTATGTTATGTATACTTCTATTCCCCCTTGCACTTTGGTATGGTTTTCTCTCAGCTTTTCCTTTCTATCCCCAGCATTCAGTGTACTATTCTCATGGGAAAGACTTGGTAGATGATGCAATCTCACTGTGTGACTTGGGCACCATATGATTATAGTCAGTCATCCCAGCCCATATGAGAACATTAGAATTTAATATGGGCATCGTTTTACTTATTCATGCCTACAGCAGTTCTCTCCTTTTGCCTTGCCCCGAAATGTTAAAACAATCACAGGAATCTTTTCCCCTAGTTGGATCTGCCCTTTATGAAATTGAGTCTTTTTAGTCTTTTTTGTATCCTCCTCAGAGCCCTGGTGATATATTGGTTAAAGCATTGGCTGCTAACCAAAAGGTCAGTGGTTCGAACTCACCAGCAGCTCCATGGGAGAAAGACGTGGCAGCCTGCTTCCGTAGAGATTTACAGCCTTGGAAGCCTATAGGGCCATTCTACTCTGTCCTATAGAGTCGCTAAGAGTCAGAATTGACTCAGTGGCAGTGGGTTTTCTTCTGTTTGTTTGTTTGTGCCCTGCTGTATCTGATGTATTAAAAAAAAATTAAGACATAGTCTCTTGGTAAGGGGGATGACAGTTTCTTGCAACTGGAAAAACAAGTTTCTTGAAGTATTCTTTTAATACACTGTTGAACTCTACTAGTTTAAAATCTTTACATCTATATTCATAACTGGAATAGTTTATTTTTGTGTTTGTGGTTATGTTTGTGTATTTAGGGTGTGTGCCTTTTGAGATTTGACATCAGCATCATACAATGGATACCATCCTGGTATCTAGGGACTGTACAGAACATACAAAAGAGTACAGCCTCAAGCCCTGTGAATAGATTTGAAATATCTTCAGTGGCAACCATTCACAGTTCACCCCCAGTTTATAGCTTATCATTTCTTAGTTGAGCACTTAATGCAGGTGTTTCTATTTCCAAGTTTACCAGCCTAGGCACTGTGATGACTTTGTATATTGCCTTAACTTAATTGCTTTTATGCATTATCTACATCCAAAGTATCTTTCTAAGATTGTCTTTCTACTCTTTCTTCGAAAAGAATGAATCTTTCATTTGTTTCTCTAGTTCAAGGCAGCAGTCAATAGTACCACATAAATTATTAACTATTTTTATGCAGAAAACGCTTTCTAATTGTGATATCCTTGGTAGAACGAACTCCTACCACAAGTTCAGTAAAGAACATCTGAAGTGGGATTTTGTAAATTGCTTATTGTGTGTTTTACAGATGTTGGCATTTTGGGAGAAGTACAAGCAGAAGGAGCTGGGGACACAGAAAGGCTTGTTGAGATGGAACAAGTCCTCTCTTCACTTAATGAGATGAAAAACACAATAGGTGGCATGGCTCTCTGGGGAAAGCAAGTCTGTGCAATTGCAAAGGTTCGCTTATTAAAGTTAAAGCATGAAAGAAGAGCACTTTTATCACTGTGAGTACCAGACTGCCATAGATTTCCTTTCAGTCAGTGTGTTAGAAAACAAACCTAAGGTGGAAACTAAAAGAACACAAATGAGAAACAAAAATACATTTCTGCCTCTGCACACCTGGGTAAAGTATAATGCCCCGTTTAATCAATGGTCTTAATATTTATCCATTCGCAGACCAGCAGTTTGAATTTATAATATTTCAGGGAAAATTTTAGTTGAAGTTGTTTAAGTAATGTAAGTTTTCCTTTAATATTTCCTCTCTTTCAATTCCTCCACAATTGTAAATGATGGACACATTGGGATGTGGATCCTCTTTCCAGGAATCCGTACCAATGCGCTGGATATTTTAGATGTTATATGGTTATCCTACTGACTCTTCCTTGAATGTCCTACTGGATCTTCTCTAGGCATCCTGAATACGTCATTCCTTTCCTCCCACGGGAAGGTAGCTCACTCTCCATACCTACTATGTGCATAGTAGAGGCCATCTCTGCTCCCAAGAACCACTTTACCTCACATAAGCATCCTGATGTCCATTGTACCTTGGCTGTCAATCAATGCCTTGTCAATCAATACTTTGTCTAACTAAGGATCAAATAGATAGGAGGCCTGGTGCATAATAGAATCTCAACAAATGCTTCTTAATGAATAAGTAATGAGAATTCATTGATAATTTTTGAGACAGAGATTATCCCATTGCTATTGAGTCGATTCCAACTCACAGTGAGCCCATAGAGCACAGTAGAACTGCCCCATAGTGTTTCCAAGGCTGTAAGTCTTTACAGAAGCAGACTGCCACATCTTTCTCCCACAGAGTCGCTAATAGGTTCAAGCTGCCAACTTTGGTTAGCAGCTGAGTGCTTAACCACTGTGCCACCAAGGCTCCTTCAGACAGAGATTAGCATGATTAAATAAAAATCTTTAATATTCACCTGGCAACACTGTATAAAGGAACCTTGAGAGAGTAAAGAATGGAGAGATGCCAGCTGTTTAATAAGAATTCAGACAACACAAAAAACTATGAAATTAGGAATTGGAGAAAAGTTTTGAAGTAATAAACATAATGAAGGTATAATAGGTAAGATTTTTCAACTTGCTTCAAAGGTGGAATATGGAAAAAGAAAGAGTAAAAAATAGTGAAAATTTTGAGCCTGAGAGACTAAGGAAATTGTGTGGTCACTAATAGAAATAGTGACTATGAGAAGAGGAGTAGACATGAATAAATTAGAATAAATGTTGATAAATTTACCAGCAAAAAGGGAAAACAGTGTACTGGAAGCCCAGAAGAGAGGCAGAATCTGTACATACAGCTAAAGGAGACATAGCCCATGAAATCGTATGATATCCATTGGCTACAGAGAAACAAGAGAAATGAATAAAGGATAAATCTACATCTTATCAACTGAGAGATACAAAAAGACAAAAAATACTCAAGAAATAAGACAGATCTATATATGTTTAATTTTCGTAATTTCTTGATCTTATTAAATTATAATCTGCTCAGATATTTTTAGGAGACTGGGAAATGGCTATATGTTCACGTTGTCAATTTTCTTCCATGTAGGCTATTGATTTTAGGGATTGGATTTTCCCCTCTTCTTTTGGAGTATATCATCACAAAAATATATCAAAAAAGTTACACTTGGGAACTTTCTCCTCATATGTATTTTCTGGCTCCTGGACAACAACCACATGACCCCCTCACTCGCTTATTGATCATCAATAAAACAGGTGATAATGTGGAAAATACTCTTTTTCCAAATATATTTACTGTTCAAAGAATTAGTTTAAAAAAATAGCCCTTCTTGTGTCAGGGAATGTAATTTTAGTGTACAACTTGACATTAATTTTCTTAGTTTTGTGATATTTAACATATTTAACTACATATTAGGGGCAAGCATTGATGACTTTATGTATTCTGTGGAACACCAGAACATAGCTCTGGAGGTGGATGCATTTGGAACTAGAAATGGCACAGATGACCCATCTTATAATGGAGCCATCACTGTGTCTGGTAATAAAAAGGTAAGCTGTACTCTGTTGTTGTTGTGTGCCGTTGACTCAATTCCGACTCGTAGCAACCCTATATGACCTAGCAGAACTGTCCCATAGAGTCTCCTAAGCTGTAATCTTTATGGGAGCAGATCACCAGGTCTTTCCTCCTGCAGAACGGCTCGTGAGTTTGAGCCACTGACATTTCCGTTAGCAGCCAAGCGCTTAACCACTGCACCACCAGGTGATTTTTCCCAAAGGTGAAGAAGGCTGTTTGAATATAATACCAATATACTTAGGTCTCCAACTGAAGACACAAAAATGGAAAAAAAAAGTTTTTTGTTTATTACTTAATGAATTATATTTGTTGGTATAATAAATAATTAAAATTTATATATCAATCACTGGCTACCAACACAGTGTGTATTAGTAAAATACATACTATACAATATCCACTGCCAAGTGCATATTTAAGCCTAAAGAATTTATATTTCCTAAAGGATTTTTAATACACATATTCTGAAGCTTCTGTTTTGTTCTTAAATAATAAACTTTTAACACCTGGCTTTGCGAAGCCTTAGGCTAGACAGCTCGTGGTCCTGAAAATGAGACACAGCCTGTATACATGTTTTGTTTTAATTATTTGAAGCCATTTTAAAATCATGATTTTTTCAATTAATATGTTGAGTTCTGACTGATTTTGAAAAAATAAAGGTTTTTGAGAATTTATATCTTTCTTTCTTGTATCTTAGAAATACCACTTTTCGTTAGCATGCAATGCCAAAAGATTGAATTGTTTCCCAATTCTTATGGATATTGTTAGTAATGGGCTACTTGGAATGTTTAAACCATCAGCACACATCCAAACTGACAGAAGCACATTTTGGGGGGTAAGTATATAATCTTAGAGACGCTACTCCATTGGGAATTCCCCAGCTGTCCCTTTTAAGTATTGGTATATTATTGAGTAAACCACAACATGATAAACTAACACTGGGATTCATGCTAGCTCTGTGGCTTTAGAAAATCAATACATTTTTCAGGGCTTCCATATTTAACTACCTATTGGGGCAAAATAGAAGTAACAAAACATTTTTCAAAGAGCATGTGAGGCACCAAAAGTGGAATCATAGAGCACCGTGACTAGCACACAGTTGGTACACTATGTGTCTGTTTATAAGGGTGAAGGGTATAAAAATAGATAGGTAGACAGACAGGCAGACAGGCAGACAGACAGACAGATAGATAGGGGGATAGAAGCTTTACTATTACTTTTAGAAATATTGCAACAGAAAAAAAAAACTAGGATGAAGTTAAAGCTAGAATTACAGACCGGCTACATCAGAATTACTCCAAGTTCAAAAATAAGTATTCCTTGGGCCTACTCCAGACCTCCAAAAGCAGCTTTTCCATACGTTCGACAAGAAAATGCTATTTCGAAACAAAATTCAGATGACTGAGATGTATATACTCTTTAAAGTTTGGACACCTAAAGTTGGACCAGAACATCTATTGCAGTTTGTGATTATTCACTTTTGATTATTTTATGAACATTTTTCTCTCTACTAAAGAGTTCTTTGAACATAGGGACCACAAGTTTTTTTGTTTGTTTGTTTGTTTTTTAATACTATATAACACCCGGTACCTAGGATGGGGCCTAGAACATGATAAACCAAAACCACCAAACCCACAGCCGTCGAGTTGATTCTAACGCATAGCGACCCTGTAGGACAGAATATAACTGCTCCATAGGGTTTTCAAGGCTGTAAATCTTTATAGAAGCAGACTGCCACATCTTTCTCTCACAGAGCGGCTGGTGGGTTTGAACTGCTGACCTTTCGATTAACAGCTGAGTGCTTTAACCGCAGTGCCACCAGGGCTCCTTAGAACATGATAAGCACTAAATAATTCACTTGTTAAATAAATAAATATCAGAACTCATCAAATGATCTGTGTCCCACTCAACTCTAGGATTTGATGAGAATAGAAATGGCCAATAACCATTTATTCATGAGTGTATAAAATGGACCATGTATCCATTATTATTTTCATATGCGCCAGCAAGATCTTGAGTTACCTTCTCACACCATACCTCATTGTGTGCTCAGAAAGTAAAAATTCCTTTCAGTTAGGATGTGCCAGAAACTTAATTGTCAAAGCAAAAAGACTTCCATCTACAAAGACATCCTGTTTTAGCTAGAGTGAATCTGATACCAGCCCAGTTAACCTTCTGTTTATGTGCCCAGCATACTAACTTTAACATCTCTGACAACTCATGTTATTGTCTATGGGAATTTACGTGCTTATTGCCCCAAAAGTAAGTATTTTCAATAGTTGCAGACCTTGCTTCTGTACTGCCCAAAGTCAATGGATTTGCCACTGAGTACAGAGTCCATACCATGATAAACAGAGAAAATATTGAAGTTGTCAAGAATTTCATTTTACTTGGATCCACAATCAACGCCCATGGAAGCAGCAGTCAAGAAATCAAACAACGTATTGCACGGAGAAAACTGGTTGCAAAAGATCTCTTTAAAATGTTAAAAAGCAAAGATGTCACTTTAAGGACTAAGGTGCGCCTAACCAAGCCATGGTGTTTTCAGTCGCCTCATATCCATGTGAAATCTGGACAATGAATAAGGAAGACCTAAGAAGAATCGATGCCTTTGAATTATGGTGTTGGTGAAGAATACTAAATATACCGTGGACTGCCAGAAGAGCAAACAAATCCGTATTGGAAGATCTACAGCCAGAATGCTTGTCAGAAGCAAGATGGCAAGACTTTGTCTCACATACTTTGGATATGTTATCAGGAGGGACCATGTCTCTCATGCTTGATAAAGTAGAGGGTTAGTGAAAAGGAGGAAGACCCTCAGTGAGATGGACTGACACAGTGGCTGCCACAATGGGCTCAAGCATAACAACAATTGTGAGGATGGCACAGGATGGGGCAGTGTTTCGTTCTGTTGTACATACGGTTGCTAAGAGTCAGAACTGACTCAACAGCTCCTAACAACAACATTGAACCCACCCATCTTGCAGGGTGTTCTGGAAGGATTCTGACGATGATCTTCAACCTCACCATTCTGTGGTTAACAAGTGTCTTTCTGATGGCCACGATGAAGACCATCAGCCTCTAACTATGACGTTCTTCACTAATGTACTTAATTAAACAACAGCTATATGAATCATGGGTGCTGGCTTTCAACCTATATGTAACACGGGTGCTGGCTTTCAAGACAGTTGGTGAATCTTCTATCCTTGAAGATTATTAAAAATAGGAACAGCAATAGGTATAACTAATGGTAAAAGTTTTTCTTGGAGTTTTTACTCCCCTTCTAATATTTCATCTCTACTTTTGAATCCTCAGCCAGTATTTATCTGGTCTAATGTTATACCTAAAAAGAAAACTTATGTTCCCATAAAATACCCTTTACGATTTTTGAGTCAAGCACTCATATTTGAAATAATTCAAGATCAATTAGGAAATTGAATATGTTAACTGTGGATTATTATTTAGCACCAGCATAAATTTTAGAATTATAAAGTAAGAAAATAAGAGATCTTGCTTTTACCTCATTACTTTCTGTGTAATGTTATCAATTCATTCACCTCCTCTGAATCAGTTTCCTTACCCACAAATTCGAGTGTAAAACCAAAAGTCAAGCTTCAAAACTGGATGGATAATGGAAGAGTTTGGGAATCTCAAAAAGGACCTAAAGCAGAATTACTTATAATCAGTTTAGTATTTTTTTTTAATGTGCTCCATAAAATTAATTTTGAATGTGTTTGTTCAACTCATTATATTATTTGCGATTTCAGGAGGAACAGAATAACCCCTTTGAATTCCTAAGCTTTACCATGTTCTGGCTGATTTTGGCAGCCAGTTGTTCTCCTTATATTGCCATGAGCAGCATTGAAGATTATAAGGTAATAATGAGTAATTGAAACTTCCCTTGTTTGGTATAATTAGAGGCTGATGGCAACATAGTTATAGCATTTTTCAACAGAATCCTTACACACGTTTACATAGTGAGCAGCCAACTCATAAATCAAATCCAAGCTATAAAAATAAAAAGAAACATATATATATACATAAAATAAAAGGCAAATATGTCTTTTAATAATAATAAATGAAAAAATATATAGAGAGAGATTTAGATAGATAGCTAAATAGATAGATAGATGATAGATAGATAGATAGATAGGAATTTGACTTCTAGCCAAGATGAGGAAACAAGAGCCTGACTTGGTCTTTCATGATGAATAACTAGGAAAATGGACAGAATATTAGATATTTGACAATGGGCAGTAGATGACTATGATCATCACATACAGAAAGGAAAGACATCATGTGGACCTCATGATATCTCTATCTTTCTGGAGGCATGTTCTGGACCACAGTGCAAAGAAGGGAAATCCAAGGAGAGCACTTTATTTTCCTGAATTGAGAATACAGAGCTCAGGGTTTGGGAGGACAGAGGTGGCTAAAATTTACGTGACAGAATATTGATAGGAGCGTTCTATGCTCTAGAAATCTGCCTTGGAATCTCACAGAGTCTAATGCTGAATACTGAGCTAAGCACATATAGGGTGAGGCCAGCCAAAGAACAATTAGGAGGCTGTAAGATGAACAATTTCCAGATCTCCACAGGGCTGGGAGTTGTTCCATCAGAAGTGGGGAGAGTTCTCAGTGAATACCTGTATATTTGGGAGTGGTGTTATTGTTGTGTGCCTTCCAGTCGATTACAACTCATAGTGACCCTATAAGGCAAAGCAGAACCACCCCCATAGGGTTTTCAAGGCTGTAATATTTACAGGAGCAGATTACCAGATCTTCTCTCCCTCAAAGCCACTGGTGGCTTTGAACTTCTGATCTTTTGGTTAGCAGCCAAGCTGCTTAACCATTGTGCCACCAGGGTTCACATCCAGGGACGGATTACCCAATAAGCAAGGTACACACAAGTTTACTTGTGCATACTTACTAATTTGTAAGTAAGTAATCCCTAGAAGGAAGGATGTCGAGACTTCATCTCACTTACTTTGGACATGTTACCAGGAGGGACCAGTCCCTGAAAAAGGACATCATGGTCAATAAGGAAGAGGGTGAGCGAAAAAGAGGAAGACCCTCAACAAGACGGATTGACAGAGTGGCTGCAACAATGGGCTCAAACATAGCAACGAGTGAGGACAGTGCAGGACCAGGCAGTGTTTGATTCTATTGTCCATAGAGTTGCTTTGAACTGAAACCGACTCGAGGGCACCTAACAACTATTCTGTAGTGCACAATTTCATCAAAGATGTGGTGAACCCCATGTGAAATTGTGCACTACAGATTAGTAAGGAAACACAATTAAGCCTGTCTGTACCTTGCTTACTGTGAGCCAGGGCATACCATGCTTACTGGTGAATCCACTAGTTCTAGGGAGTCCTCGATATAGAGTCAACGCAGAATCACTCTGTGATGGGTAGTTAGTTGCTTAGATGGATATATCTGTACTCTTCCCACCTCCCCACTCATAAGTCATTAAGTCACTGTTTTGTTTACTTGAGCTCTCATACCTCGATTACTCTGAGGTCTTCTTTCTGTACCAGATGTGTGATGAGCATCCATGTCATTAACTAAAGCAGCCAACAGATAATTTATGTTTGAAACTACCCATGTCCCTTAATCCAGATAACATTTGTAGACATGGAGCAGAATTATTACAAATGAAGATTTTTATTTGAGTATTTTCTTACATAATCTACATTTTCTGAAACCGCAAGTTGAAATACCACTTTCTGTCTTTTCTGTCTCCTAATCAGAACAAAGTCCGGTCTCAGCT